ACATTATCCTGACAGGTACACTCTGAAACGGGTCGTTAGCCAGGCGCAGCAATGAATTGTTCATCTTATTTATTTGCTTTCTTCTCTGAATATTTCCAATAGGATTGTCAGTAACTTTGCAACTAAGTTGGCATTAGTTTGCTTGGGCAAAATTTCAACAAATGTCCGGAGCTGTACTGCTTTTTTTTCCGCCTCGCAGTTTTCCAGCTATGACGTTTATTATCACAAGTTACAAGAACATGTTATCGCATTTGTTTCTCCATACATGCGTCTGTTCTGTCCGTCCTTGGCTAACCACGTAATGCAAATATTTCTGGGGCTTCACTTTTAGCAATAAAACTATGCATACAAACTAATGTATCGATGGGGTAGCAGAGTCCTCAGAAAATATTTTCATAACCCCCCCACCACCACACGCACACACACACACACACACACACACACACACACACACACACACACACACACACACACACACTAATCAGCGCCCCTGTCGTCTGTACATGAAAGTGAGGAATTATAACGAGCAATTCTCTCTGACTGTCAATAAAAACTCAACAATATCATGTAAAGAAAACTGCACCTGCAGTGGTTCTCATTATCGTGCACGTGCTTAAAATGGAACCACTACCAAGATAACTGTTAAATTATTGTCAGCTCACATTACCTAAAATCCAATTTCGTCCACCATTTATCCCATTATTTAATTTGTGTCTGCTGCTGTATTGAGTTTCCTACCACAGCGTCAACTCATTATGTTCATCTGAATGGTGCATGCGAGATTAGATCTTTGGTTTAGCTGCTGCAAAGTGTAGATAAAATTCCCATAAAATACCCATACTGCGGGAAGAAATTTCTGCATGCTTTGTTTAAAATGTATTTGTCAGGACTTTCATTCACCATTTACACTTTGAAATGCGTTTATAAAATCATTATAAAATTTGTAATATCTATATCTATATCTATATATATATATACAGTATATAATATGTATATATACAGTATATAATATGTGTGTGTGTGTGTATTGTGTGTTGTTAATGTTCAGAGCTGTTTTCAGTGCCAGAAAGCCATAGCTGCAAACCAGCAAGGTCAGACATTACTTATTTCAAGACTCAATTTCATAATACTGAAGCAATTTTGAATTAACTAATATGCTTGTTGCACCAGTCCAGGATGTAACCCAACTCTTGCCCAAGGTCTACTGAGATAGGCTCCAGCTCAACCCTAATTAGAACAACAGATGGAGGGATGCTGCTGAATGGCTTGACTGCTTATGCTTCTGACGATGTCTTTGCTGGGAAACAAATTTCAACACTGTGGCTTAAAAACTAAATAGACTTTTGCAATTGCGAGTGGAATACTGGAGGAAGGTTACCCACATTTCTTGATTACCGGTAGTGAGCTAACTGATTCAATTTAAGAATTAGTTTGTGTATTTCTGTCAGCCATCCAGCATAAAAGAAGCTTATCTGAGAGACTGCCATGCAAGATGAATGCTGGCATGAGTTAAAAAAAAAAAAATCTATCTTGTAAAAACCCTTGGACAAGCCAAGGCCTTTCTGGTACTCCTGAAGACTGATGGCAATGACTCCATTGGGAACATTCCATCAGAACGAGAAACAGCTAAGGGAGGGTCTTTGGGGTGTTTGGGGCAGGGAGGGCATATGTCAGGTTGGTGTTAATTACTCTGATTGTCCCCAAAACAGCAAGATTCAGGTACGTAACATGAAGTCAGACAATGGTTCAGGACAACAGAAAATAACCGGAGTGGGTACATTTACAATGACAACAAGTGGATACAATTGGCAAATTATTTACTTGGTCACCATCCAGCCGGACATGTAACCTCCATCCTAGTCGATGGATTACATATTACTTTTCATCTATTTCCTATAGCACTTGTCTTTATTTGGATCGCGGGTGAGCTGGAACCTATTCCAGCTGATTTCAGGCAAGAGATTGGGTCCACCCTTGACTGGTCGCCAGTGAGTTGCAAGGTGCATACTCTATAATCAATCGAAATGCTACATTCATACTTGGACAATTTAGAGTCTTCACTGGACATGCCATGCATTCCTTTTTGAAATGTGCAAGTACCTGGAGAAAATCAACAGAAGCAGACCATGTGGAGTGTAATTTGGTACTTGAGTGCTCAGTGTTTTGGTGTCCATGAAACAATCGTAACATATACCGTAACAACAGAGTAGACCATGACATTCAGCAATCCTGCTGAGTGAACTACATTTATTCATAGCGCAGTGCAGAAGATTGGAGCGAAATGTGCTGTTCAGTTTAGAAAAAAAATTGTCTCAGCAGGAAGTCAAAGGTCCCATAAAAACATCCAACCATCCATCCATCCATTTTCTGATCCGCTTATCCTCACGAGGATCGTGGGCATGCTGAGGCATGCTGGGGCAGGGTACACCCTGAACTACTTGCCAGCCAATCACAGGGCACACATTTACGAACAACCATTTGCGCTCACAATCACATCGTCCATGCATGTTTTTGGTATTATGGGGAGAAACTGGAGTACCAGGAGAAAACCCACGCAGGCATGGGGAGAACATGCAAACTCCACACAGGAAGGCCGGGGCTGTAATCAAACCTCGGACCTCCGCCCTATAAAAATATGCACCCAAGAATGGCCAAGAACAACATTTGGACTATCTGTTATAGGCTTGTATTAGCCCTGATTTAAATCTTATTCACCATACGGTATGTGGAAGGAGGTGAAACATGCAGTCTACAGACGGTGTCCTTCAAACAAGTGAACTTGTGCAGTTCATGGAGTGGGCAAACATAAGAAATCTCTTTCAGAGTTAGAGAAATCGTTTGATCCCGATAATTGCCTGGCGGAAAAAAAAACCCAAAACAATTGCAAAATGCAAAAAAAATGTGCAACAAAATATTACATTTAGGCTAGTGTAATTTTTGTCTGGGCCAGTTTAATTAATTCATCATCATGATTTAAAATAATTGTATTGCATCTTAAAGTCAAAAGGAATGTCTGATATTTCATTTTTTTAATTACTTTGGACTATTGTGGGTTTCTTTCATTGACAGAATAGGGGCACGCTTATTTGCCTGTGTGGTCACTTAAGATATTTTTGTTTCCTTATCCCATGTATGTTTCACAAAATATAGGTTAAAATTCATCCCATGTTCCATGCTATGAATCAAATATGTACTGCTTCTGCCCAAGCAACCTTCTTAAATTAATAATCAGAGGAATGGAACAGTTGAGAATGTTTCGTGTATTGCAATATTTGTTAGTGATCCTATCGAATCAAATGCAATCACAGCTTTTAAGTGTCATTTGGATCGTGTTCTCCCATCAAATGAATGTTTTGTTATTCCCTCAATCAACATGAGTGCACGTTTGTGACTACTGGGTCTTTACCATGTGTATGTGTCAAGAGCCTTATCAGCATCCAGGCAATACGTGGGATTGAGGGCCACTGTAATCTGGTCCCAACGGTGACTGTTGCAGTTGCCTTCATGTATGTGTGTGCAAATGTGAATGTGCGTGCTGGTTCTTGCAGCACACACCCACACACTGCTCGCAAACTGAAGCGAACATAAAACAAATTTAGGCCTCCATGTAAATTATGGACCTGAACTCAATATGCATGCATTCATTCTGACAGGTTGCATAGCGCCTTGGCTCTGAGTTTGCAGCCTTTGCAGAAAGTTCTGCTGGTGGATGATGTCGAGGGGAGTCTGCTATTTGTTCTCCGCGAATAACTGAAGGGAAAAGTGCCATCTGACAGAAGCATTAGCTCAGCGCCTGTGGTGTAGTGGTGCAGATCGGGGCCTGCCGTGGATGCTCCTCAGCGGGGAATTCGAATCAGTTCCTGTTTGTGTTTGTTGAAGCTGCAAAACCACTTCGTCAGATTTCTCAAGACTTGTATTGTTCTTTGTCTTGTAGCTACAATATCCTTTCACTAATGGAACATTGGACAACCAATCTAAAACCACAGCTCTCAAAGCTAATTAGCTACTGCTCTGAAACAGAAAAGGTTGAATAGTAAGGCAAGTAATGCTTACATTTCAGCAGATTGCCTGTTACAGAATCAGAATCAATTTTCAAATGATGAAGTCTGCTTTGGATACCTACTGCTCCAGTATTTTTCTCCTCCCATCACTAGTGTTTTGATCCAAGTTCATCATCGTGTCATCTGTCCAAACTAGGTATACTGATTTGGGATGAGGAAATTCGTTTCTGTTGTTGCCAGTTGTCAGTTGATGAACCAGCTTGTGCACTGCTTGTGTTAGAAGGGACAAGAAGAGCTAGAACATTGTGTGGACAATTTTACAGTCGTCCGTGTGCCCTGAGATTGACTGGCAACCAGTTCAGGGTGTACCCTGTCTACTGCCCGAAGACAGGTGGGATAGGCCCCAGCATGCCCGTGACCTTCGCGACAATAAGCGGATCATATCATGAATGGACCGATTTATGTATTTACAGTTCTAACTTTGCTGTGAATCCACTTACACAGAGAACTTTCATCTTTCTTCTTCATCTTGCATCATTATTACTTCTTCTTTTGCCTCACTCCCTGTTCTTTTGTTCCTTCGGGTGGTTTATGCTCCCCTTTATGCTCCCCTTTCTCCCCCCTCTTCCTTTACCAGTTGGCATTATTCACACTCCTCTGGTTCTCAACGGCCAGTTTCTGTCCCTTACCGCCACCTTGTGGAGATATAGCCGTCAAAATGAGTTTCAGATGACATCAAGGCAGTATAAGCAACACTGAAATATTTGGTTCCTTCCGCAGAGATGAACATAAAGCGTGCTCATCCAGAGGTGGGACCACAGCACTAACCTCTGAGCTGACTTCAGGTTACCGTTTACCTTCCAATTACCAAGGGACACTCTTCTGATGTAAGTGCATCTAATTTGACATTGATCTGTCGCTTTTGTCTGTCACTAAAAAAAAAAACACCTCTTTGTAATGTTTTCCAGGTGTTAAGCAGAACTTTACCTAAAAGTGAGTATACAGTAATGCCATTTAACAGCACGTATAATTGTGGCTGCTTTCAATAAACCTTTTCATTGAGATGTCAAATCTAAATAAAACATGAAAATTAGTCTTTAATGGTTTTACTGCTACTTTGTTTTTTTTTACTTGTACCACTGAGGCGGAAAGGCCCAAACTGCTCCCTCACCCGAGACCCCAAAACAGCGCAGAATAATAATAATACAGAGAATAGACATACAAGTGGCACTATCCACTATCTATGCACCAACAGTCCCCTCCAAAAGACACTTGGGTTGCGGATCAAAAGATGAATATGAGACGCAAGTTCTGGATTCCAGCTTTTATTTCACAGTATTTACATCTTGATGTGTTAAACGACTCAGGAAAGCGAACAACTCGGGAAGAGCTTCATCATCTAACAAGCCAATGATCCAAAACACACTGCCAACACAACAAGGGGGGAAAAAGTGGAAGGTCTTAGACTGGACAAGTGAGTCACAAGCTCTTAACTAAATAGAGCCCCCTGAAGTGAAGACTGAAGGGAGAAAGCCCCAGAAACAAACAAGAACTGAAAGAGACAGCAGTAAAGGCCTGGAAAGGTGTTTCAAATGTAGAATGTAACAGTCTGTTGAATTCAATGACTTGCAGCTTCGATGCAGTTATTGCAAGAAAGGGTTACACCACCAAATATTGAATGAATGTTATTTTTTTATGCTTAATATTTACTTAATTTTATTATGACCATTCCAATACTTTTGCCCACTTGAAAAGTGGGCAATTCAAACAATAGGTTTTCTGTCCTGAGTGGTTTAACACGTCTGGATGTAAATAACCGTACAAATAAAAGCTGGAAGTCTCAACTTTTGTCTCACAGTCTTCTTTTGATCTGAAACCCAAATGTCTTCAGTACACAACAAAGGAATTGGCGTTGCTGTTGCAATACTGTTGGAGGGGACTGTATATTGGAGAGAATGGGAGGACCGGTGTCTGCGGCAACTCCCACTGAATATTGCATAGTATAAGTGCAGTAGTGAATTGCAAACGGTACATGATTAAATAATATATATACACAGGATACCGTACTATGTATAGAATGATCCATTTTCTATATTGCTTGTCCTCACTACGGCCTCAGCGAGCTGGAGCCGATCTCAGCTGACATCGGGCCACACGCTGGACTAGTTGCCAGCCAATCACAGGGCACATATAGACAAACGGTCATTCACATTCACAATTTGCAATTTACAGTCTTCAATGGACTTAAGATGCATGTTTTATCACTATGGGAAGAACATTTCAAATCTGCCCCTGAAGACTCCGCTGAAATTTTAACCGAGAATCTCGTAACTGTGAGGTGGATCTGCTCACCATAATTCGCAGTTGGGACTGAAACAAATCATTTGAATTACAAAAAAAGTGTGTAGACTAACGAGAGCAAGACTTTATACAAAAAGCATGTGTGATTGCTGATTGCGTGATCTCTTGTTGTCGTCTCTTATACCTTTGACAGAGTTTGATGGAGAGCTGGTCGGATGACAGCTGGAACTGTTGTCATAACTGGAGGAATACTGGCCACAGTGATACTTCTCTGTATCATCGCTGTGCTCTGTTACTGTAGACTCCAGGTACACCTCCTTGTTGATTGCGTGTGTTTTTGTGTGCCAATACAACTCACGTGACAAACCATTAGGCCCACCGACACACGGTGTAGTTACCATTCAGTCATTTTTGCAAATGTCTACCGCCCCTTTCCTGTAGTTCTACCAAGTTGAAGTTGGTCTCAGTATAATGCAGTGTGGCTCTACGCGACAAACTACAGTCACAATTAAACATTTTAAGTACAGTCAAACCTCGGTTTTTGTCCATAATCCGTCCAGAAGGCTGTTCAAAAACCGAATTGTCACTGAAAAGCTGCATTCAAGTCTCATGGATGTCTTATAGTAGATCACATTGGATTTCACAATTATATCTACAGTTGTGGTGAAACTAGGGGTCTTGATTCACTGAAGTTGGAAAAAAAAATGGGTTGCAGACATGAAAACGCAAATTATTTAATGCTTCAACATCTAAATGCTTGTTAAGTTTCGGATATCACTGTATAAAACAGTTTGGGGGTTTTATCTTGAGATGGTGGTTGTTGAAATGATACAAGTATAATTGTAAAGTTTCAGAATTTGCAAAGACTCTTAAGTTTGTGTGCTGATATGTTTTGAAATCTGATTTCTTTTCAGTACTACTGCTGTAAGAAGAATGGCTCTGATAGTAGCTCCAACTCTCTGCAACGCTTTGAATGCAACACCTGCAGCGTCTCTGGCCTGGATGGGACTTTTGGCATCCCGCTGTCACTTTCACCCCCAGAGCCACCTGCATTGTCCAAACCCAGGAAAGCCACAGTGGGGCGTCGCCGCTACTGCCCCACCTGCTCCCCGTACGACTCACCCTTCTTCATCCGTACCGCTGATGAGATGCGCAACGGAGGCGAGCGCATCACTTACATGCCCACGCACTACGAGAACCAGGCGCTGGCCATGCCGCTGCCCGCCATGCACGGATCCCTGCTGAGGGAAGATCCGCGGAGCAAAGCACCGGATTTCTACACAAACACTCGAGCCATCAGCACAGAAGTGTGACACTGCAGCTAGAAGCGCTGAACACAAAGCGGTTTTGGGATCCTGTATGGATGCTTTGTTATGGTAGATTTATTTACCGTACTGTACTGATTTAGTTGACCTTATTTTTTATTTATTTTTTGGTGTATGTGCAATGTCTGTTTGTAAACTACACTGTGATTTGACTGTTAATTCAGTTTATAGACCGAGGGCTATCTGACCTAAGTTAGCGTTTACATATCTACTCAAAAACAAAAACGTCATTTTTGAGACAGTTGTGTCGTACTCCCTGTAACGATCTGTATTTTCTCAGTGCATGCTCCATTTTAAAGGAGGTTCTGTCTCTATGCAAGATGTTTTAGAAATCCATTGAAGTCTCAACTCATCAGATTTAATCTCAACATTTTATTGGCACATCATCATGAGTATGTGAGGTACAGTAATTAAGAGTGAATCACTGGTCGTTTAAAGCCCTCTGGTTTGCTTGGTCACTTACTGACCTTCAATTTTGTGCTCTTATGTGTCTATTATGAACAAGATTGAAGTATCTTTATTAGTCGTTTTTTTATATGACAATATAAGTGGAGGCAGCAACCATATATGAGAACTACGGCGTGCTTTTTCTGCTGGATGTTGCAGGACATAGTACTGACCCATTTGCCATTAGTCTTTACTGACTCAGATGCAAAAAAGTTTGACAACAAATATATGACTCATCAGTTGTTTCAGATGGACGTGCTTGTTACGTGCATGTGTCTTTTGTGTGCTTTGATGCGGAGATAGTCATTTACTTTTTGCGCTTTTGCTATTACTCTCATGTGGCATCATTAAAATGAAGACGGTGGTGGTGTTCCTCTTCACATTGTGAGAACATCCACTTTTTCGATGCCATATCTTTGTGACCAACAATGTCGCTGTGATAGTCCTGAATATTCGATTTTTTCTCCGAGTCTACAACCATTTTTCTTATTTTTTTGCATAAAATCACACAATTGGTAATAGCAACTTTATGTTTGCATACCTTTTCATCCCTCGATGCAAAAAAAAAAAAGTTTTGTTTACTTTGTGTGAGTGAGGGCAAATAAATGTACTCGTATATCGTTACGTGATGTGCTTATAAAAGTCAATACACAACGTCAGGGCAAACTGTTTTTGTTACAAAGAATCTATCACTATCATTTCATCACTTCTATTACCTACTAAATTATGTAGCTACTTGTTAAAACAACAAAAGCATATTTTGAACTGTTGATAGAGAAATCAACATACATATGATCATTAACACTAGACAGTGATACATTTTGACAAATAAAGATTTGTAATTGCTTCGAATGGACATGTGTGATTATTTTTAAACCCACATAAATCTTTTCTGATGAGTTGTGTTACCTACAACATCTTTGGTTTGTGAAATTTTCCATGAAAATATTCTACATTAAAATGAATGCATATGGATGTACAGTAGAAACATGTAATAACAAAAATAAACATTTTTATTGTTACCTGATGAAATTATGAATTATAATTATAAACTATTTTACTGTATATTGACTGCAATACTCAACACAATACAGGGATGGATAAAAAAAAAAACACTTTTTAATTCTACCCACTAAGTGAGCATTTGCTGGGAGTCCCTGAATTGTAATTGTTTAATTATTTGATCCAATTTTCTGAAAATTGAGCAATTATGATGTACTGTATTATTTGTTTTTAAACTCATGTATCGTTTTAATTAACGAACAATGTTTCATTTTTAGGATGTCTCTTGTTAAATAACACTGTTCGACTTTTAAAATCAGAGATGCAAGTAAATGTTTCGAGATTTTTTTTTGTGCTGATTCATAATGATTGCAAAATAACAAAATACGTAAAATAGTAATATATTTGGTAATATTCATTATGAATTAAGGGCTAGATTATACAACAATTGAATTATTTTATGGAACGTAGCAATACATTATTTACAATGCATGGTAAAATCCCTATTGTGCAAACTTTTACAGGCTAAACTATAAAAATCAAATCATAAAAACATATATATATATTTAAACACAACTAGATTTTAATAATTTATTACTTTGTGGGTGTGACTCAGATTTACAGCGGTATGAGTTGAAAAAATCCCCTTGGGATCATAACGAGCATAATAAATTCAAAAATATAATGACATGAACTATAAGCAATACAAATTCTAAATGAGAATTCTGAGTGTTTGAAATTTGAGCTTCACTTTGAACTTAGGTGAGTGCACATGCGCAGCAGCACGTGATCTCCGTCGCCACACAACCGGAAAGTGTGCAGTTGGTGCATGGAGTGATGCATCCTGTTCACCGGTACGATCTTCGGCAAAGTCTTGACAGCTAGCAGGCAACTCCTCATCGCTTCAAGCAAGTAAGTTGACAGCTTGTTTGTCAACAAATGTGCTTATTTCAGTGACTGCGTGGTGTTTTGGCGCATTAGACGTTTTGAATTCCTTATTTGTTCTCTTCTGGAGGACGGTTCGGGTGTTGCTATCATGTCTGTGACCTCTCCAAAAAAGGAGCCAATGTTTTGGACTTCGAGCTGGTTGGCGTTAGCGAAACATTAGCTTCGACGTAAGCTAGCGTCTAGTCAACCTGGCGCTGCTTGCAACTTCCTGATTAGCCTGCACTCACCTGTCCTCACATACTGCTGCACATCTGCAGCTTTCATACGGATCTAGATCTGGCACTCTCGCAGTGAGGAAAAAGGTTTTCAGGAGGTATTTTCACGACCGCTAATTTTGCATTGCCTTCATTGTTAACTCGAGAAACCTGCTCCTGATTGATCTGTATTGACTGTACTTGATTATCCCATTTTAATTGCATCTTCTAATTGTGCTGCTGTTGATCATTACGATCATAATGACGACGTCGAAAAAGATGATGATGATGCTCAGAGAAGTTTGGTCAAGGTCTCCAGACAAAAACATAAGATGCAATAACACAATTACTGATGAGGATAAGCACATCGTGGACGGAGTTTGATTTATTCACTTACACAACGTGTCAGTATATATAATACTGTTAACAATAGTCTATCACACTATAAATGTTGAAAAAGTTTTTTGACAAACTTTTCTTGACTTCATCCATCCATGTTCTGATTTATCCTCACAAGGATCATGGGCGTCTCTTCGGGCAGTAGGCATTGTACACCCTGAACTGGTTGCCAGTCGATCACAGGGCACACATTAACGAACAACCATTCATGTTCACGACCACACCTAGGGACAATTTAGAGTGTTCTGTTAACCTGCCATGCATGTTTTTGGAATGTGGGACGAAACCGGAGTACCCGCAGAAAACCCACGCTGGCATGCCAGAATATGCAAACTCCACACAGGAAGACTGGAGCCGGAATCGAACCTTACACCTCTCCACAGTGAGGCGGATATGCTAACCAGTCAGTCATCGTGCCACCTTTCCTGACTTTAATAATTATGACGCAGAGAAACTGCGTGTCTCGTGGACATCGTGCAGATTGTTTTTTGTATAACTCATTTGAAAGTGAGGTGCACATTGGTTGAACAAATTAACTTACATTTAGCTTTGTGCTGTGTTATTTGCTGACCTGCGTGGCACAGTATCAGCTTGGACTTGTTCTTTAATGTGTGGTTTTGCCTCAGTGCCCAATACATAATATCCTCCATTGACTGTAGGTTGGTAGGCATTCATCTACAGCAAGCAGTACCAATGTTGGGTACCACTTTTTTTCCAGACAGATACCAGTACCCAACTCTTAAGTACTCAGCAATACTGAGTACCCATTACCACTAGTACTTTTGATACTTTAAATTTCTACCAAACCATATACTTTTTATTTCTGACAAAAAGGAGAACAATCACTCTGCAATCAAGCTTTTTAAGTTTAAAACAAAAAACGAACAGCTGGTTTAGGATTCAGCTGTAATAAATTAACAAACATGCAATATAACACTGACAACTCCCTGAGTCTTTGTTTAAAAAAAAAAAATCAAGTGCAAGATCCAGCCATCCATCCATCCATTCTCTCCCACTTATCCCGGGTCGGGTCGCGGGCTCAACAGCTTTAGCAAGGAAGCCCAGATTTCCCTCTCCCCAGCCACTTCTTAAAGCTCTTTCCAAGGGGAACCCGAGGCGTTCCCAGGCCAGCCTGGAGACATTGTCTCCCTAGCGTGTTCTGGGTCGTGCCGGAGGCCTCCTGTTGGTGGGACATGCTCAGAACACCTCACCAGGGAGGCGTCCAGGAGGCATCCTAATCAGATGCCCGAGCCACCTCTCAACATGGAGGAGAAGCGGCTCGACTTTGAGCCCTTCCCGGATGACCGAGCTTCTCACCTTATCTCTCAAGGAGAGCTCGGATACCCTGCGGAGGAAACCTATTTCGGCCGCTTGTATCCACCCGCCAGTCAAGTTTTTGGTGATGATAAACAGCACTCAATTCATCCATTCATTTTCGTAAGATGGAACCTATCCCAGCTGGACTTTGGGCGAGAAGCCCACACCCTCTTGCCTAATGTCAGCTGTGATAGGCTCCAGCTTACATGTGCCACTAATGAGGACAAGCGCTCTTCAAAATCGATGAATGAATTTGTAAAGTTTCTCCATCAGATATCCAGTTATACGAACTTCAGTGTTGGGATTGGCACTCTTTATGTACTGACTAACACACACACACACACACACACACACCCTCGCTGATGCAATGTAGCTTGTTAGTTCAGTGTATTTTGAAATTGAGTCACTTCACTGCCTAGCTTCAAATCATTTCATACCACGCAGTGTTTCCACTTACATCAAGCAGCGGTTTGGCTGCAATGTTGCGAGCTGTGCTGGCCGAGCAGACGAAGGCTTCTAAATACTGGGTGCTCATTGAGACACTCATCTACCAGTTTACTTCAATCGAGCTTGTTTCCAATGCACTATGTAGGGAGACTGGTGACTGCATTAGGTTTGTAAATGTGTCATCATCACACTGCGTCACAGACAAATCATTCATTATTTTAACAAAAAGAAATGCTACAAGATCAAGAGAGGCAGACTGTGGAGTAGATTTATTTTCTTGGCATGTGCCGAACATTGATATGGTATAGACCGCCATATCAATGTTGGTTTGTGTATATTCATGTTGAAACAACAAATGCAGCCATCACACCTGCAGTGCAAGTACTGTACATATACTGTAAGCTACTGTAGTTGTCTGGACCACGACAGGCAGGAGTAAAATATTTTCCCAACATTTGCTGTTGCTATCTGCGTTTCTCATCTGGTTTGATTCTCCATGCCAGTCCCTTCAGTTAGTGACCCATTAATCGCCTGGATTGTTCATGCTACTTTCTATAATTCAGTAAGTATGATTGGAGCACATGATCCGGTTGCTGTCCTTCTATTGGTATGAATGTCTGAATATCAATCGTCACGGTGTGCGTAAACGAAATCATGTGTCTGGAATGAATGAAAACAACCTTCGATGTGTTGTCTCTTATCCAGATAGGAATATTCGTGCAGATTGCAGCAAATTCTTTCAATGCAGCACGTGTTGTACGGCCGGCTGCTTGAGCCATCTCTACTACTTACCTCATTAGGAGTGTCACGTTGTCTTGATTATAGATGTGTAACCAAGTTCATGGTACTATATTATCACAATATTTTTCCCCACAATATTTATCATATCACTCCACACTGTTAATCAATATGCAAGAAAAAAAACCCCAACAATGATCCATATCTAGCTTACTGAAGAATCCCCCCCCCCCCGAAGTCCTGTATGATATGACCCAACATTTTTTTTTTTATTTTTATGTGGTTCTGCTTTTGTACTTTTACTTGGGGTGTTTAGTTGTTTTTTTTTTTGTTTTACACTGCACATTTATATTGTTTCATTTGAGAAGTGCCACATGCACAGGGACATTTAAGTTAAAGTTGTAACACAGTTTTTTTGTGTCCAGAACTGGCGGAACTGGGGAGGAAAGGGGAGAGATTCAACTCCGGCCCCCCCTGCACTTCCTGAAGAAGAGTCAGCCATGGATGACGACTCCTCCTTGCACAAAGTCAGCAGTTCCACAGAGTCTGTGGCCACGGTCACCAGTGAGGAGTTTGTTCTGGTACAGCCTAGTGCAAATGGATCACCGCAAGCCTCGGAGGGAAAACCGAAGCTCAAGGTCAGAAGCACATCCCAGCAGACAGATAGGAGTAACATCACATCAATACATGATCCTCTTGGCCATATGAATTAGCCCTTTCAAAATAATCTTTTGGCAAGCATACTGGATGCTGCTGACAACATTCGCTTTGGCAAAAAGTTAAATAATGGAGCAGGTAAAACACTTTGTCAACGCCATCTTGGTTTTCAATTTTATTTTATATCTAACCAAAGATGTCAACAATATGCTTGATTTTTTTTTTAAAAAATAAAGGTAAAGGTTTTATGTTTGTGCAATTTGTATTTTGACTGTATTGTATTTGACATCATGTACACTAGTTTCCTCTTTGGGCTCTGAACTTAAATCCCCCCACCACCCCCAAAGTTATTTCTTGAAAATAGCGCATAATAACACTGTGACAAATTGAGGACAAGAGGAATCATGATACTTTCCTTAACACTTATTTGTCCCACAATGGGTAAATTTGGAATTTTGGATTGGTCAACAATTCCCCCTCAAAACACGTCAGTGTGCAATGATAAACAAATAAAATTTCAACTGTTTGTCTGTTTTGAGTCGCCGAAATAAATGTACAGTGGATCCATCCAAGTATCGATCCTGCTATTCCTCATTGAGGTTGTGAGGGAACTGGAACTTCAGTGAGCTGGGTGAGGGGTGGGGTTTTTAAAGTATGTGTAGATGAAAGGCTAAAACCAAGCCTCAAGCCAGTGGGAACAAAAATGCACGTAAAAAATACTTGCATTTACTTTGACACGGCCATAGTATACACAGTATAAATTATTCACACAATCCAGGAACCTCCCTGCTCTTCTACACGGTCTATGTTGACCTCCGTTTATCTTTACTGCCTACTTCAACATTCATGCTACTTCCTCCACCAGATGTCTTGGAATGGTAGTGAGCAGCTGGAGAAAGCAATGGAGGAGGTACTGGATGATGATGATGCTGCTGCTGATGGTGATGAAGACGATGAGGACGTGAAGGTGGAGAAGAGTAGTGTGGAAAAGATGGAAAAGCACATCTACCCAGAAGTTCAAGTCCTGGAGCGCCACCCAGCAGGTAGTGTTCAGTTGTAGACTTGTTGTCGGTTGTTGCATGAGCGTCATGGTTTCAGATACAAAAAAAAATCAACTGCACCACGAGGTCTGGTGCTTCCCTACTGCTGAGAGGAAATGGTACGAGTAGTGTCATATAAAAGCCAGCCAGCAGTGGAAGTTCTTCTGCTGTGCTCATTGTTCTGCTTCCTGTTTGCAAAGTTTTAATGAACTGCTCGAACATCCTGTGCCGTTCTGTCATCTTTTTTTCACCTTGACATTTTTACCATTTGGGCTCAACTGTTGTCTGCTCTTTCTTCATGAATCCACAAGTGTTTCGTTAAAATAGAAAATGTCTCAGAGTTCCCATCAGAGTACAATCCCATTTGTGAATTAAACTCACATTTGTCAGTCGAAATGAGAGCAGGCTGAATAAACTGACACCAGACATTTCGGGTCAGAGCTGTAATCGAAAATATGTCTGTCGTCAGAGGTATCATCACCCTGTCCAGCACCAGCGAGCCCCACGACTCAAGAGGAAGACAGTGTGCAATTCAACAAGCTGTCCTACTTGGGCTGCACTTGGGTCAAAGCTCCTCGTAATGAAGCTGAGGCACAGAGGGCAATGGCGACCTTGCGGGCTGAGAGTGCCATCCCGATCCCCATCACCCTGCATGTACCCTGCGGACCAGAGGGCTCCGTGAGGTAAGAAAAGATGCAAAAATGTGGATCATAGTTTTCCAAAATAAAAGCAGATGTTTTTTTTGTTGAGTCATCACAGAGATAATCTGTAAAATTTCACGGAGGACTAGAGAAATCAGAGAATATTAACTGTTGAGAAATTGACATCTTGAGCATTTGGGCAATTTGAAATGGAAAAAAAAGCATCAAAACAACAAATCTAAAATATAATTTGCGATTAATTTGCTAATTGATTATGTAGCGCCCTCAGGATGCGGCATGAGTGACGACACGAAGTCCACGATGAAAATACAGGGTTTTATTCCTTGCAACCCATGAGAACTGGCCCCATGAACATGACACATACAAACAAGTGGCATTACGGACCAGAGGGCTCCGTGAGGTAAGAAAAGATGCAAAATTGTGGATCAGAGTTTTCCAAAATAAAAGCAGATGTTTTTTTGTTGAGTCATCACAGAGATAATCAGTCAAATTTCGGGGAGGACTAGAGAAATCAGAGAATATTAACTGTTGAGAAATTGACATTTTGAGCATTTGGGCAATTTGAAATGGAAAAAAGCATCAAAACAACAAATCTAAAATATAATTTGCGATTAATTTGCTAATTGATTATGTAGCGCCCTCAGGATGAGTGACGACACGAAGTCCACGATGAAAATACAGGGTTTTATTCCTTGCAACCCGTGAGAACTGGCCCCATGAACATGAAACATACAAACAAGTGGCATTACGTACCAAATAAAAGACAAAACCATGAAGGTTTTTATGATTTAACATAAAATGCACACAAACTAGCTAAACTTAGCCGAAATCCTGCCCGTCGTCGTCTTGCCTCGTACGGTAGGTTCTCGGCACTCTTGTCTTCTTACAAAATGGCAACGCAGAGCTTACAAAACGTGTCTTTTAATGATGATGAAACTGCTTAATGGGAAATAATGGCAGTAACAGATTAGTTGTCGATTAATCTGTTAATTGTTGCACCTCTAAACCTTACTTTGATCATTTCACTCCCGTAAGTCTTCTTTGAAAATGAGCCTCTTCATAACTTTCTGCAGGGTTGTGGACCAGGCTTCGGGTACAGAGATTTGTTCCTTCCCCATATACAAGGTCCTGTTTTGTGCTCGTGGACGGGACGGCTCTGTGGAAAGTGACTGCTTTTGCTTCACTGAGAGTTATCGGAGCTCCGAAGACTTCCAAATTCACGTCTTCTCCTGCCACATCAAGGAGGCGGTAAGATGGACTTACAGGCGCACTGCAGCCAAGCACTGTTTTTCCTCACTTCACGAAACGTGTACGCTGAGGTTCACATTGAGCAAAAGCTGCATTTATTTGGGTGACAAACCCACTTAATCCAAGATACTATAGCTGGTCATCTCCAACTTCTTGAGAATGCTTTTCCTCCGCTTTCCGTCTCAACTGCTCGAACATCCTGTGCCGTTCTGTCATCTTTTTTTCACCTTGACATTTTTACCATTTGGGCTCAACTGTTGTCTGCTCTTTCTTCATGAATCCACAAGTGTTTTGTTTAAATAGAAAATGGCTCAGAGTTCCCATCAGAGTACGATCCCATTTGTGAATTAAACTCACATTTGTCAGTCGAAATGAGTGCAGGCTGACTAAACTGACACCAGACATTTCGGGTCAGAGCCGTAATCAAAAATATGTCTGTCGTCAGAGGTATCATCACCCTGTCCAGCACCATTCAGGAATTTTGGCACCACATACAGTAAAAATGAAGACATACTAAGGTTCAGCGATTATGGAAAATAATCCAATTGGAATTAGTGTTTTTTCCCCCCCAAAATTGCGATTGCCATGATGTATGCAATATTTTTTTTTTCGCAGTCCTTTTCAATGATTTTGCCCGATCCCCATCACCCTGCATGTACCCTGCGGACCAGAGGGCTCCGTGAGGTAAGAAAAGATGCAAAAATGTGGATCATAGTTTTCCAAAATAAAAGCAGATGTTTTTTTTGTTGAGTCATCACAGAGATAATCTGTAAAATTTCACCAGTCTTGCAAGTATAAGCATTTACCATGACAACATAATTCTATTGCATGCACAAAATAAATGTTTCAGAAAAAGAACTGTACACAGTACAAAATGCAATATAAAATACAAAATATAAATATGAGCATATATGCAGCTGCATATATGATGGATAAAGTGGCTGTGCTAATTACAATCTATGGATGGGGGGAGTCCAGGTTTTCGTGTTTTATTTGAGATTCTGTTTACAAAGAGAAAAATTGCATTTCAAGCGGTTCTCCAGACTTTTTGGGTATTTTTAAAACAATTTTCAAGATATTTGTTTAGATTTGATTCCAGCACAAGTAAGTTTACTCAGAAACTGCATGTTTAGTATTTTGTATTTTGTATGTTTGGATTATTTAACATTTGATGGATGGGACGAAAAATGACCTCCAATTCTCGAATGACTATATATATGCTTGAACTTTTTGGTTCAATGAATATTTAACAATATGCATGGGTTTGGAAATAACCGAGGAAACCAGAGCACCCAAAATCAGAATTTTAAAATCACAGAAATTTTAGGCAGTAGCAGTCATGCAATTCAATTTTACATCGTGCTCCGGATGGATGGATGGATGGATGGATGGCCATGTGAAAAGAGTGGGGCGAAACATATTGGTAATTTTTCCAGTTGTAGCGCTTAAATAAGTAAACATGCAGATGATGCAAGCATGCAAAATAATCCCATGTTGAATAATGGTCATTGTAATCAGATTTGTATTTATTAATTTTTTTCTGTAACTTTACCATCATGGATTACAGTTCATTTTTGGGGGTAGACCGAATACTTAATGCTGGCACGTTTTCTGTTACTCCCGAAGACTAACTGCAAGATACGATACTTTGACATGTGGTTGTCGGATTATGTTGAATAATCCAGTCTCTCTTCCTTTTCACAGTCCAGTCCCCAAGGACAGAGACAAATTGTATTTCAAGCTGCGACAGAATGTTCAGAAGAAAGTCCTGATTACAGTACAGCAAATTAGCAACAAAGATCTTGGCATTGAGAGGTGAGAGCCAGTCTTATGATCCAATGTGGCAGTTTATTTTACCAGTAGGTGTGACAATTTTCGCCATTTTCAGAGAATAACACACATCTGTCTATTTAATGTCCCTCAAAATGGCTCTTCAAAAGCTGTTTTGTATGTTCTCATGAATATTACCCTCCTTTGATTTGCTGGTTGTTACCTTCTTTGTTCGCACCTTCAACTGCAGACGTAGTGTGGCGCAAACTGAACGCTGCATTCGGCTCAGCCAGTTGCTAACTTGCTTCTTTTAGTCCAGAGTCTTCATAGGTGTGGAAGTATTAACAAAATAGACGAGATGTTGTCTTGGTTCCATTCTTGAGCAGCACACAGGTGACAGTGACCCATAAACATACAAACTCATGGGTCCATTTCCCTTTTATGGCTTTTTGTCCCTTGGGCACTTGCACACACCTCTTAAATGTGTGTGCAAATCCACCAAATGTGCAATGAAATTTTACAGTTCTCAGAAGTATGGGAATCTTGAAATGTCTCCCTTTATGCATGTGTCGCACAAAACAAAAGCGGAAAACGCTTGCCTCATTCTGTTGCCCGTGCACGGACGACACTGTTACTGCCGTGTACAGAAGCTGTTACTCAGTGTATTCTAGTCTGCTTTGTCTTTTGTAATTATACACATGTGCAAGGTATATAACAAATTCACAGGTGAGCCTTTGCGCTGTATAGTAAACAAAGACGCTGAATCCCAAATTTTTTTGCGCTTCGAAAGAATGAAAGCACACTTTTTTTTCACAAGCCCTAGGCATAAATAAACGTCTATACCAGGGGTCATCAACCGTTAGAGAGCAGAGAGCTACTTCTTGGCTACTGATTAGTGGAAAAAGGCAACCAGTTTGACCCACGCTTCTGAAACAAGTTTGTGTAAATTAACTGTCAGCGTGTTATTATGAACAATAAATGTGGAAAAATGATCATGTTAATGATTTCTCTCAACAATTAAGAGAAATTACAGGTTGACAATCCCTGACCTTGTTTTAAATGTTCGGACTGACAACTGGACTGAGATAAATTGGTCAGGTGTCGGGGAAGAGCCACTAGTGAACATACTGTGAGAATAATGGGAGGTAATGGTTTTGTTTTATCTCTCTCTGATTGTCAGTGATTAAGAGCTACTGTACGCTTATCTTAACAAAACCCAAAACTCAAAATGGGTTTTTCGTGACCGCAGCCCGGCAACCTCTCATGGGAGAATCCGTCATAATTTCCCTTTGCTTGGGATGGTTGAGTTTGAACAACAAAAAAAAAAGGGGATAACTTCAGTCTTTTTAAAGATAATCATCAAAAATAATTCCACGACAAAATACTGTTGTGTGTGCTTGAACCAATTTCCGCAACATCCCACAGCCCTCGTTTATTGCACTCATGCACTGAGCCTGCATGCCTTCACCAAAGAACTAGGTCAACCTTCCCAGTCACTTACCTCCAATTTCCCTCACCAGAAGACACCTGCCCTTTTTTTCCCTCAGCCAGTGGGCAATTCTGTTTGCCTTTTTTTTTTCTTGCCTCATGCCACAGTATCATCAGTGTCTCCCTTGCCATTGACTAAAAACATCTGAACGGTTATCTGTGGACATTACTTGATAACAGTGAATCCAGCTTGAAAGTCATTGATCAATACACTTGAATCGTGCTTTCTATTCGAAACTGTATCTTGCTAAATTTTTTTTTGGGGGTGGGGGGGTTGAGATATTCCCATGCTAACCACTGGATGGCACTCTAAGCTTGAAGAACAGTACTGTACTCTTTGGAAATTGCAGCTCATCGGGATGAAATGCTGTTTGAGATTGAATGCGTTACTGCAATTTTTGCTGAGGGACAAGAGATTTGCTGTACCGCATGTATTCGTTAAAAAACAAAACAAAACAACAACAACAACAAAAAAACAACATGCTAAGTCTGTGGCACTTCCCTTGCTTGAACTGATATTCTGTGAAGGCTTAGCAATGTTGAAATAGTTACAGTACAATTCATTCCTTCTTGATTTATATCGTGCTTTCACGAGTGTTGCAGTTGATTAAAAATGCATAATAAAAGAATGATCGCAAATGTTTCTCATCATTTAAACGTGCAAAGCTCCTGTGTCTGTTTTCTAGGTGTTTTGGAATGCTCCTGAGTCCAGGCCAGAAGGTTTGCAATAGCGACATGCATCTGCTAGACATGGTAAGTACGGGACAATCACGCACTGTTTCTGTGAATTACCCGATGATTTGTCAACTATTGCATGATTCCATCTTTCTGTGGAATACTGCATACGATATTAGCCTTTGCCTGCATCCGAACTTTATTTGTTATACTTCGTATTTGACAGCGCAAAGCATTGTAGTCAATTTGATAAACATACAGTTGATATTAAACAAACATATTTCATCATCAATTACCTGCCCAGGAGTCGATGGGGAAGACATCTGATGGAAAGGCCTATGTGATCACAGGAATATGGAATCCCAATATTGCAGCTTTCCAGCCCCTCAATGAAGACGCGCCTAAAGGTGTGACACTGTTTTTTCCCCCCTCTTTGAAAACCAAAATTACATGATACATAAGACTGAATTTGATTTTCTTTTAGGAAATGAAATATTTTTGTCACCAATTAAAACATTTTCACGCTCAAAGTTGTATAAATTGTGATTCAAACTTTAATTACTCATAGAGGACCAAGAGTCTTCCATGGCTGCTTGCCTTGTCTGCTGTAAAGAGAATTGTATGCACAGAACACATATCACTGTTTTATTTGGAAAAGATTTGAAGGTCTCTAACAGTTCTTGGGTTATGGGTATCGACCAAAAATGTTAACCATTTGTTCATTGTTAAGATGAAGGTATGCCTTGCTGAACTTATTTGAAGTTGATGTTGCATTTCCAAATATAATATTCAGGCACAGCCATTTTAGGGAAAAAATGTCATTGCAATTAGATCATAATAATAATAATTAAATTGGTCACTGGTTGCGTACCATAGAAGTGGCATGAGGAAGTACACAATGCTTGCATTTGTCCCGGAATGTAGTATTTGTTCTTTGATGTACAGCTTAGTATAGTCTTTTGTCATGCAAGCCTTGCGACCCGTAGTGTGTCAAAGCTTGGCAGCACCTTTTCCTACGCAGGCATGAACACATCATCAAGTAGCTGAAGTATTCACTCATGTGAGAAACTGAATCAAACTCAGTAGTTACAGATTAAGAAAAAAAAAATCTAATTAATTTCATAATGTGATGAAACAGGCCTTGTTTTAAAATTCTATTCGCAAACCTCTGCAATCCTAATTACGGTTTGGGGGAATATAATTTTTAACTGAAATGGGCTGTACAGGTATTTCATTGAGATCTCAATGTGAAAAAAATGTGTAATCATATTATTAGAAGGTGTTTGGCTTTCTTTAACATGTTGAGAAAACTAACATTATGTGACACTAATTTTAGCCAACATGAGCCTAAAAGGTCAAAGGTGTAGAAATTGTCATTGTTCCGTACTCCTACTAAATTTCACCAAATAATCACATTTACAAAAGCCCAAATGACCTGCTTACCTCCAAATAAAGGACAACTCTTCCCCTATTGTCGAAGGCCTATTACAGTACATGTTTGGCAGGAAGGACACAGACAGACTAGCTATTGACAGGCAATGCAGTTTATGAACCAACTTTATTTGCATGGCTGGTGTGTAGAGACAGCCCAGACAGGCACAGGGGAGAACATGAAAACACAGGAAGTCCCCAGACCTCAGCCAGACAACAAAATCAGATCCAAAACCTTCTTGCTATGAGATTAGTCACTGTACTGCTGTGCTACGATAAATCGTTTGAATTTAGCCTAAAACTTATCAAAGTTTTCACATTGGATTTTATAATGACTGGCTTTTCTAGTTAATGGGAAAATATTTACACAGTATGATCTGGTGGTTGGCACAGCGTGGCTGCCAGGCTGAAAGCTTGCTTCACTGAATCCATCAGAGTTAGCAAATTAAAAACGGTGGCAACTTGCTGACTGGAAGGCTCAGAGAGTTTGAAATACAGGGAAATGGCAGATTAGTCTAAACCGGGGGTCGGCAACACGCGGCTGGCTCCAGAGCCGCATGCGGCTCTTTAGCGACATCTAGTGGCTCCCCGGAGCTTTATAAAAAATGTTTGAAAATGGAAAAAGATTTTGATAGTTGGCTAATATAGCTCAAATAGATATAGATACATGTTGCAGCTCCGAAAAAGTAGAGCTGTGGTGTTGGTTTTTTAAAACGTACACTTTAGTTATGCTTTTGACAGTCTCGACAAACACAGACACGTCTGCGTCCGACTCCGTGCCTTCTCTCTTCTCGTTGACTCGAGAGGCGTTCAAAGACAGCCTCAGAAAAACGGAAATTAATGATCACTTCACTGACACTTAGGGTGGTCCACATTTTCATGGCAAAAAAAAAAGTTGGTCCACATTTTCATGGCAAAAAAAAAAGTTGGTCCACATTTTCATGGCAAAAAAAAAAGTTGGTCCACATTTTCATGGCAAAAAAAAAAGTTGGTCCACATTTTCATGGCAAAAAAAAAAGTTGGTCCACATTTTCATGGCAAAAAAAAAAGTTGGTCCACATTTTCATGGCAAAAAAAAAAGTTGGTCCACATTTTCATGGCAAAAAAAAAAGTTGGTCCACATTTTCATGGCAAAAAAAAAAGTTGGTCCACATTTTCATGGCAAAAAAAAAAGTTGGTCCACATTTTCATGGCAAAAAAAAAAGTTTGTCGGATTCGTCGGGCCGGGTCGGAATTCTTGTCGATACTATGGTACCAGGTTCTGTGCAAAATTTCATTCCGATCTGATGATATTTTCCTGTCCCGCAAAGCGGCCAAAGTTTCCACCATAACAACTGGTCTCAATAGGGTGAACATGTGTATTTTAACCGTGTATTTTGCCATGCGTGACACTGGCTGGGCTGAATGTTGCCCGAACGATCACCTCCTGACTAACTAAACCTTCCATCGCTGCTCTCAGCAGCCGGAGACAAACTCAAACGCACGCCTAACACACAACGGTCACCTACTGGCGAGCTAATATCTTTCAATTGAAGTCGAGAATCGCCGGAATTCTTACTGGACGCTGAGCTGAGGACGCTTTTCGACATCGAACATCACCACGGCTCGTCGGCGCGCTCGTCACCTACGGGTGGTGAACGACTTTGCGGAGAGGGGCGTCGCCCTCATCAGCGCGTTCTGCGGCGCCATCACGCGCGACGAGGAACAGCGACAGCACCTTCTGCAGGTCGTGGAGCGACACCGGGCGTTGCACCCGTGCGTGAAGTAGGCATGGGATGGCACGCACGGCGGATTTCGTTTTTTTTTTGCGGTCTAACAGTGTCACTAGTGTTGATGGACATTATAGACAGATGGACAGATAGACAGATGGACCAGTTAACATGGACCAACAATCTCACCAGTGTTGAAGGATAACCACGGTTGCCATTTTTGCAATACATGCGTTCCTGTCTTCCGTCTTTGAATTATTGCAAGTGCGAACTGAGCAAAACAAAATCCTTACTGTACGGGAGAAACCGTACTACCATTCAGCCCCGTAACATTCTTTCCATAGGGGAAACTTTGGTCGCTCTGCGGGACGGGATAAAATTATCCGATCGGAATAAAATTTTGCACACATCCTTGTGTCATAGTATCGACAAGATTTCCGACCCGGCCCGACGAATCCGACAAACTTTTCCAAAATGGACCACCCTACTGTATACTGTATAACCTAATGTAACCACATGGAGAGACAAACACACATACACACTCCTTTGAGAACACCGGAGGCTGGACACAACAAGAACACATACAAGCATAAACGTCCTCATCATGTGATCTGAAAATTTTGGATCAAAGACAGATTTGATCCGTTTTCCTTCATACTGCAGCGTGAGCCTTTTAATGTCTCTGAAATAGTTTCCTGTTGGTGTCATGTAATATCTAGCAACTCTTTCCCCTACTATTGTCTGGCACAGATAAGCAAGTGTACATGACGGTGGCTGTGGACCTGGTCGTAACCGAGGTGGTGGAGCCAGTTCGCTTCCTGTTGGAAACTTTGGTCAGGGTTTATCCGTCCAATGAACGTTTCTGGTACTTCAGCCGTAAGACCTTCAGCGAGACTTTCTACCTCAAACTTGGACAGGTATGTTCACACATCATACTTTTGCTCAGTTCACAGTCCGATATAGAGTAGAATTAAATAAGCACATCCACCGATCTAAATAAGCAAATCTACCTGTTGTTATTTTCACTCAAATGAGAACGGGGAGCATGTTTTCGAGCAGAGTTGAGTTCCGACTAATAAGACAATTTTAATTGATAAAGTAGTTTAAAAATTCATGTTATTATTCAAGCAGTTTGCGATTGACTGGCAATCAATTCAGGGTGTCACCTGCCTACTGCCTGGAGACAGCTTAGATAGGCTCTAGCAAGCCCGCCACCCTCAAGAGGATAAGCCATTTGGATAATTAATGTGGAGGAGGCCACAATTTTTCATCAGTCTACTCGGGGGGCACATAGGTCCACACACTTCCTAACCAGATGTATGACAAATACATTTTTTAATGCATGCATAAAAATAACCACTTTCCTAACCCATCAATAAAGGATTGAAAGAAAACACCAAAGTAACCACATACTGAAGTGTTTTTTTTCCCAGTGCAAATGTCTCTTGAATAAAAATTGCCATTCAAGAACAGCACAAAGCCGCTTAACAAGAAACCACTATTAAGTGCAAGAATTCATTTTGTCTTCTTCTTCTTATTATTTTTTTATCCCCAAAATCAACTCACTCAATATGTTAATATTATTGCGGTACGATGTTTGACCCGCATACCATTACAAAGCCGCAAAAAAATATTCACTACTCATAATGTAGGGCAGTCTAAGGCTATGTACACACGACAGGGCGTGATGCCTAATTTTATATACCAGCACTACTGGACGCATTTCTCATTTGATACAGGTTTTGTTAAATACCACTTCAAAATCAAATGACAAAAGGTAAACAGTTATAGGGTGCTGTATATGCTTTTATAGATTAACTGAAAATATATTGTAGGACGTTGTTATCGTGATATAAAATGGACGATACGTATTGTGAAAGATTTTTTTTCTCTATCGCCCAGGTCTGTGTGTGCAGAAGGACATGCCCTCATAATATTTTGCCTGCTTATAGACTTACATCTATTTTTGTTTAATTTGGTAATTATATTAAGGTCATGTATTATAAACCAGCTGCTATGAGTTTTGCTAAAAATGTCAAATTAAAGGTCTCCTTCCTCGTCATAATGTGTTCTAGTCGTGTGGATTTCCTCACAACTCAAAAGGTGATCAGAGAAAAGAGATGGCCAGCCAGCTTCTTGTTCTTTGCTATAGAGAGGGAAAAAAAAGAGAAAAAAAACACAATCCAGAGCTACTCTAGTAAGCCATCCGGGAGTTGGCAAAGCAGTGGATTGTGGGGAAGCTTTCCATTGTAGCAGGCTAATAAGTGGCTCTTTCTCATTATTGGTGTGTTGGTAATTAATGGCGGCAGTCTGACTTGTACGCCTGATTGCCTACGGAGTTATCTCCTCAGTAAATGGAAGACTGGTGCACTGGTTAAGAGCCAATTAAAAGATAATATTATATCTGTGTATACAGCTGCTATGAGTTTTGCTAAAAATGTCAAATTAAAGGTCTCCTTCCTCGTCATAATGTGTTCTAGTCGTGTGGATTTCCTCACAACTCAAAAGGTGATCAGAGAAAAGAGATGGCCAGCCAGCTTCTTGTTCTTTGCTATAGAGAGGGAAAAAAAAGAGAAAAAAAACACAATCCAGAGCTACTCTAGTAAGCCATCCGGGAGTTGGCAAAGCAGTGGATTGTGGGGAAGCTTTCCATTGTAGCAGGCTAATAAGTGGCTCTTTCTCATTATTGGTGTGTTGGTAATTAATGGCGGCAGTCTGACTTGTACGCCTGATTGCCTACGGAGTTATCTCCTCAGTAAATGGAAGACTGGTGCACTGGTTAAGAGCCAATTAAAAGATAATATTATATCTGTGTATATATATATATGTGTGTGTGTGCGGGGGGGGGGGTGTTGTACACCTACATGTAAATGTGTAATGGTATTGTCCTATTTCCTCTTAAAAAGAGTAATATCTTTTTAAGATGGACTGATTAATATAATATGCTGGACAAGCGTTACATTTGTGTAGCGCAGTGTAGCTTTAGTGAGTGAATATGGATTTTCGATGGTTTACCGTCATACCATTTGAGAACATGAAAAATTGTTTGAACTTTGAAACAAAAATGGTCAAAAAATACACGTGACTGATGTCACAATAAGTATGTTCATTTCAACATTCACTGATGCCGCATCTTGGTAATGTTTGATAAATTTGACATTTTATCTTCAAACGTTTGTCAGGGCACCTCACAGGCTTTCTATTTCATGAGGGGCTTTTTGTTAGTTTGCATATACAGTGGGATTGACGTGATTGATCAATTATTCATTCATTTATAATTGATTAGGCAACACGGTGGGTTATGTGGTCAAGGTGATCATGAGGAATATACTTGTTTGCCTGCGCGTGTGTGTGCATTTTCCCAGGGTAGTACGGCTTCATACATGTCAGGAGCTGGGATAGACTCCAGTTTACTCGTGACACCATACAGAACAAGTGGTAGAAAATTGATTGATGAATGACTATTTGACCAAACTAGAATTTTTTTTTTTTAATTTAACGTTGTATAAATTCTGAATATGTTATCTTTAATTGTTTAATTGTGTCCATAGAATACAGATTTACAAGTCAGATCTTTAGACCATTATTTTATTCCTTGCAAAGTAACAGGACAGCAGCGGTCTCAAATTTATTAGGTTAGTTCTAGTGTGTAATCTTAAACTTATTGATTTTAGCCATCCATTCATCCATTTTCTAATCCGCTTAACCTCACGAGGGTCGTGGGCGTGCTGCAGCCTATTGCCGCCATCACCGGGCAGTAGGCGGGGGACACCCTGAACTGGTTGCCAACCAATCGTAGGGCACACAGAGACAAACCATTTACACTCATAATCACACATGGAGGACATGCAAACTCCACATAGGAAGGCCAGGGCAGGAATTGAACCCACAACCTCTGCACTGTGAGGCGGACGTGCTAACCAGTCGACCGCCCTTATTGGGCTTATAACAAAGTATCTGATTTTGTTTTTTGTTTGTCTCTGAAGTTCTCCAAAAACTAGCTATATGTTCTATTCTTTCTATTTTTTTCTCATCAGTGACTTGAAAAAGGCATTAGATGTTCCACTGGGTGGGTGGATCAATACTGCATCAAAGCTCATTGATCCACTGTACCAGCGGCAGGCGGTAGGCTAAAGCGCTACAGTTTGTGAATAGACTAGAAAGAAACATCACCCAAGGGCTTGGATATTTTTTTCTGTGGTGCTTTCCTTATATGGCTTTGATCTCGGACATTATTTGATTTATTGTTTTGGACAGAGAATGGGCTGTAGTGTATGCTGCAATTTTAATTCAAAAAATGGTTTTGACTATTGACCTGATCTTGTATTATTTCCACTTTAATTTGCACATTCGGCCAAAGGTGGCAACTTTGTTCCCCGTTAGATGTTGAACTGTGCTTGAGCTTAAAGTGGTGCAGAGTATTGGAACCGCAAGGTCAATTTAGTTATTGTTGTATGTTGAAGACATTTGGGTTCCAGATCAAAAGATGAAGATGAAGCAAAAGTTGAAATGGCCGTAATTTGCATCTTTTGTCTCACATCCATATGTGTTAAACAACGCAGGGCAGCGCACCTTTTGTTTGAAGCCACCCACTTTCCAAAGTGAGCAAAATCATTGGAACAGATGCTATTAAATTCACGTGATTAACATTTGGTGGCATAAACCTTACTTCCAAGACGACCATCAAGCCGGCAAGCCAAACCACTGCATTCTTCAGTTGAAATTACTTGGCCTTTATTCTTTCAGTTCTCGTTTGTTTCCGAGGGTTTCGTCCTTCACTCTTCTCTTCAAGAGGCGAAATGTATGATCTATTGGGTTAATGTCCGGTGATTGATTTGGTCGGTCTAAAGACCTTACACTTCGCCCTTTGCTGTGTTGGCAGTGTGTTTTGGGTCATTGTCTTGTTGCATGATGAAGCTTCTTCCAATTAGTTTGGGTTCGGTTTTCTGTAACATGCCAGCAAAATGCTTTTGTAGACTTGATCATTCATTTTGCTGCTACCATCATGAGTTACATCACAATGAAGATGATTGAACCCGTTCCAGAAGCAGCCATGCAAGCCCAAGCCATGACTTTACCCCCACCATGCTCTACAGATCCGTTTGTGTGATTTGGATCAAAAGCAGATCCTTTCTTTCTCCACACTTTGGCTGGTTTATCACTTTGGTAGAGGTTTGTCTTGGTGTCATCAGTCGATAAAACTTTGTTCCAAAACTTTAGTAGCTCATCTCTGTACTTTGTAAAATCCAATCTGGCCTTCCAGTTCTTTTTTTTTTGTTTGTTTGTTTTTTTGCTGATGGGTGGTTTGTGTCTTGTGGAATGGCCTGTATATTTCTTCTCGAAGTATTCCTCAAACAGCGGATTGTGATACTTTCACTTCTGCCCCGCGGAGGTTGGCAGTGATTTCACTGACTGTTGTCTTTGAGTGTTACTTCACATCTGACAACGCTTCTGTCATCCGGTGAATTACTTGGCGAACCTGTTCAATGTCTGTTGCGCAATATACCAGTAGTTTTTGTTCTTTTTCAGGGCATTCCAAATTGTTGTTTTGGCGATGCCTAATGTTTGCAGTAGCTCTGATTGATTTTCACTCATCTCTCAGATTTTATTCCATAGACATCTCTCTGGTCTCCATGTTTGCTTAACAGCAAATGCGGTTTTCACAGGTGAAACCCAAAGCCGAAAAGCAAACAATATCTCATGTTTAAACAGTCAATCCAAACGGCAGCACCTGAGGAACGAGAAACACCCATCAGTCACTAGTTCCAATTCTGCTCACTTTAAAAATGGGTGGGTTCCAACAAAAAGTGATCTGACCTGAGTTGTTTAGCACGTCAAGCTGTAAATACCATGAAATAACATCTGCAATTCTGATACTTTTTTTTTGTCTGATATCCATCTTTTGATCTGGAACCCAAATGTCTTCAGTGCACCACAACAACAAAGGAATTGACCTTGCCTGAATCAGATGAATGGCATTTCCCTTCATCTGAACGTGGCAATGGTCACAGAACAAATCAAACTCTGAAGTACAAGTACCACTGCTTTAAATGCGGTAGTTTAAAGTTGTATCTTTTTAAAATCAAGCTAATTATACTTTGTGTGTCCCTACAGCATGCTCCAGAGAGGACAGGTCAGAGTGATGCTATGTACGAGGTGGTGAGTCTTCTGAGGGAGGCAGAGAGAAGCAATGAAGGCAAAGGACAACCGGCCTCGCCCACTGAGGAGGAGGAGGCGGATGATGGTAAGAGTAGCCACTTACTCCTACTTCTTCTTTGTTTGGACTGTTTGGTTCCTTTACGCGTTGTTCTCTCATCCTCCATTATGATTAATGCTTCAAAATTCACAATCAAAGTTCTGTAGAGTACTCACATTTTGCCCACAACTTTTGGAGTGAGATTATTTTTTGAGTGTGTGTGAATCGCTTCATTACTTTGCAAGTCATTTATGTAACTGTGTGGGGCTGAACAGTCTTCGTTGATTGTGTCAGTTGATTCCTATACAGTGTGTGTCATGCAGTACATTTCTTGGACCACTGTCAAATGTCACAGATGCCCGTCTAAATTAATAGCATTGGTAATTGCCAAACTATTTTTTTCCATCCCACAGAAACCTTACAGCATTGTTTTTTACGGGAGCATTTGGAATTTTTGTTGTGAGCACAGCTTTTCATCACCCTTAGTCTAAAAAATTGTCACCTTGGATTAATGGAAGGCAGCAACATTGTCTCCATGTGCAATTATTGGCCCAACCAAAGCCACTGTTTGGCTCCCAGGCTATAGCTGATGGTTTTCAACTGTCATTGTGGGAGCCATTCAGAGGGCTTTTACTGTACCCTCCCTCCTCCCTCAAGATGAGAAAATAGAGACACTCAGGGACATGGAGTTGGAGGTCAGCGTTATTGTGTAGAAAAATGAATACACGCACGGTGTAGTTGCCTCCATAGAAGCGCACGGGTTTAATTATGTTTTTCTTCTCGGGTGCTTCAATGTGCCCGAAGGTGACATAGTTTTTTTTTTTTTTTTTTTCCCTCTCTTTGCGGATCCCTCCACAGCACTGTCATTATTGTCGAGTGTTTTTGTCACTCTTTCCTACACGCATAAATACATAAAATGGTAGTTGCATATGCATCCTGTGCTCTGCTCAGAAGGAACCATCCCATATCTGTGTGATACAACACAATGAGGTTGGTTGGGATCTAAATAATAATCAACGCAGTTTGTTTTGAGACTTAAAAAAAAGGTGAAATTAATTCAATTACACTAGCAACAACATTAACAAGGGTTCTTCATGGTGCCATGCACATTGCATGCACACGAGTCACGGAAATATTCGAAAGACTTGAAGGATGTTTATAGATACACTGTGTTAACGTACAAAGTAATATTGTGGTTTAAAATTTCAATTATTGTTCCTACCGTATTTAGCATCTCTCAGAGTAGTAGTTATCTTTGTCTTGGCTTTTCCCATCTAGTGTGTGCCACAACAGCAAACAAAGAAAGAAGATGATGCAAACCATAGAAGAAGAGGACACTGCATATCAAATCTTTTGAGTTACCGCCGTCATCAACATCCAAAATTGTACATCAGCCCAGTTATTTCAATATATTGCTAGCGTCTTTTTAAGTACATTTTGCGAGGTCTTGCATGCATGAACATTTATTTTTACATTTCTAATGTGCAATAAGTACATAGGACTGATGGTTTGATAATCTTTGTATTCAAAATAAAACCTTTTGCAATTCTTTCAGTGTGTCAATTTGTATATGTTCATTTTAGCAAAATTGTGACAATACTGACAACTGTGATCATTTTGGGTTCACTATTATTCAGATTTTCATCTCTACACCTTATATGAAAGTAACCCTGTAGTGAATGGCCATCTTAAGACGAAAAAGCAAGAGTAACGTATGTCATCTTCGAAGTCATTGTATGTTTGCAGTGACTGTAGACACGTGCTTTCTGCCCGTGCGGCCTCCGCCGTCTTGAGACAGAAGCACCACCTTTGTGGTGGGTCTTAACAATTTGAAAAGGGCTCCTTGAGCACGTACCAAGCTCATGCATGCTTGTTGCTGTTGGGATGTATAAGGGAAAAGAAACGCACAGAGGATAATGGCTGCAAGGACAAATGGACAAAATTGTGGCAACCCCCCCAAAAAAGTACATTATCCCTCCCAAAAATCAGACAGTACCTTTGAATCGTGGTTCAACAGAATCAATTACAAAACAAACAAATCCATTCACTTAACAGTTTGAGGCAAGTCAAATGGTTTAGGTTCCTTTCAATGAGATTTCTGCACCTCTCAGCAGGGGTTTTGGCCTACTCTTCATCTGCAAACTACTCCAGTTGTGTTTGGTTTGAAGGGTGCTTTATCCTGTTGCAAGATGCAAGACCTGCGAAATTTTCTGACACTGGGCAGCAAATTTCTCACTACAATACCTCGATAGTCCTGAGCTTTTATTTTAGGCTGCACAGAGGCTAGACACCTTGTACCAAATGCAGTAAAGCAGCCCAGAATATAACTGTGTCCTCCTGGTTTCACTGTCGGGACAATGTTCTTGTCTTGATATCTGTGGACATAGAGCTGATGTGCCTTGCCAAGAATTTCCACTTTTCTCTCTCCTGTCCATCAGGCACTCTTGCAGAAGCTGTGTGGCTTGTCAAAATGCAGTTTTGCTTTTTTCTGATTTATTTTCAACAGTGGCGTTCTCCTTGGCTGTTTGCCATGAAATCCACTTGGGCTTCAACAATGGCGGATTCTGACACTGATGTGCCATGACCTTGGAGTTCACGTTTAATTTATTCTGAAGTCTTTTTTTATTTATTTGTTTATTTTATTTTTTACCATTTGTATTATCTGTTTCATCGATTTCTCATCAATTTTCCTCCTGCAGCCACATCCAGCGAGGTTGGCAACAGTCCCATAGATCTTACATTTCTGAATATTATATGCAATTGTAGTCAGAGCAACATCAAACAGCTTGGAAATGATCTTAAAGCCTTTACTTTTTATGTGCTCGACTAAAATTTTATTTCTAATTTCTGAAGACAACTCCCTCCTATGCTTCCCCCAGTCAATGTTTAGTGTGGTACACACCATGTCACCAAACAGCCCAGTGATTGGTTGCTGCAGTTAATAAAACTTATAATTTGAAAAAATGTGGGCATTAAGCACGTGTCTGCTGTCACTAAAAACATGCAAGGATTAAGAATATGATGTACATTACTACTACCTTTTATTTATATATTTATTTACTTTAGGTCATAGACATTCTATCAAGTCAGTCAATCTGTGTCCGTTCCTACATTTCACCTTCACACTCACTGAAGTACTGGAAAATTCAATCCATGTAGCTGGAAATATTCATGAGAGTATGCATCAAGACATATTTGCGTTCATCCTTCTATTCACTAATCTATTCATCCATCCATTCATCATCATCATCATCATCTATTGTATTCTGCTAAGTGGAGGGTAACAAGGATGGTAGTGCCAATCTCAGATGACTTATTGTGGTTCTTTGTTGAATAGCTAAGGGAAGTCACATGCAGAATTTCCACCGTTTCATCGTGAGATATGGAGGATACATTTTAAAAACCTACTGACGTATATGATTAATATTGTCACATGACCGATATAAGGTTACCGACAGGGAAAACCTCATCAATGCATTGATAAAGTTGTTCCATATTTACTACAGTACCATTCGTCATTACCAAGCTTTCAACTAATTGTTTGGTATAAATAATGCCAGTCGCATATGATTAATATTGTCACATGACCGATATAAGGTTACCGACAGGGAAAACCTCATCAATGCATTGATAAAGTTGTTCCATATTTACTACAGTACCATTCGTCATTACCAAGTTTTCAACTAATTGTTTGGTAGAAATAATGCCAGTCACATTAAAAAAAACCCAAAAAAACAAAAAAAAAAAAACCCAGTGTCTCCATGAAGTGCATTGGCTAGGGCTGCATATCATGATTCTTTTAAGAATCCATTAATATCTCAAAATAATTTTTGCCATAAATTGGACGAATGAGCTTTTTAATTACCATCCCCTTAATCAAAAACTGGAGATTATTTCAAATTGACAATGCAGAATATAAAAATCAATTGATTATGATTCAGTTTCTGGATTGGTCTGTGACATGCCAGAAAGTAGGGAAAATACTGATAATTGTTTTGAAAGCAGATATTTGCAAATATTGTCCCAAGTCTGGTCCTCAAGAGCCTCGATCCATCCCGTTTTATCTATATCCCTCCTCCAACACACCTGATTCAAATAATCAGCTCATCAGCAAGCTCTGAGAAGTCTGACAATGATCCTGATCTAAAAGCACCTAAAAACATTCCATTTTCTAAAAAGCCGACACTGCGCCTTATAATCCGATCTGCCTTATATACCTGTATGCATCAATAATCTGATTCCTAGGACTTAATATGTTAAATGTTCTGTAAACCGTTTTGTTACAGCTGCAGCGGTTGTGAAAGCGCGATATAAATAAAGCTGTATTGTATCATATTCCCTTTAGCGTAGCTCCATCTAGTGGATGCATAACGCAACCTCAGCCACTATTGTAGCTTCTATTCTATTTTTCTTATCTTATCTTAGTCTATGCACCTTATAATGCGGGTTGCCCTTTATATGAAAACAGTTTTAAAATAGGCCATTCATTGAAGGTGCGCCTTATACTCCGAATCGGCTCTTAGTGCGGAAAATACGGTAAGTTATCTGCACGTTTACATTACAATCCAGTAAAAATGTGGGAAATAGGCAGCTAACAAAAATATTGACTTGGTTATTTAATTCCACTTATTGGGAGAGCAAGCACGTCAGAGAAACTATTTGTACATAAGAACAAGCAAATTCAAAGCAAAATCTCCACGGTACTGTAGTTGTACGTTCAATCTACCGTATTTTGCCCAGTTACTGTCTCGTGTGTAAGTGAATGTAAGTGTGAAATAAAAATGGGACACATTGAAGAAATGTGGTATTGCAGCTATATTCATGGCTGCATGTGCAAGTCTAAATGCTGCACATACACTGGACTAGACTGTGTTTATGTTATAGTGGGTGGCTTATGTGTGGGAATCGGTCTCTTTACCAGCAGAACAGAAGGCTAGACAGGCAGTCAGGGCTGCTGCATCTACGCTCAAGTGTTTTGCTGTGCTGATTGCCTCTTGTTTGACTTGCAAACTGCCAGATGGAAGAACATTACACTAATGGAATGTGTAGGCCCAGTAGAAACTCTCCAACCCCTGTTAAGGATTGTGTGGTTGGAGCACAAAGGCACAATTTAAATGCTTCGCACGAGATCTGAGATTGAGTTTTGTGTTCTCATTTGGCCAGGCGTCACAGACATCAAGGTCACTATTGGAGACAAATGTCTAATAAAAAATGTTCTGTGGTCCGTTTGTGTTGTATGTAGATAGTGACAGTGAAATCTCCAGCGGGACGGGAGATGTTTCCAAAGATTGTCCTGAGAAAATTCTGGAATTGTGGGGAGCAATCCTCAATAGATGGTAAGGCAACAAAGCTTTAGATTTTGCTTGGAAAAAATGTGCATTTTGTAGGTTTTCAGAGTCTTGCGTACATTTTTAGTTTCACGTGTCAGATGCGTTGGAATGGTATGAATGACATTTTCTTAATTTGTTTTAAATGCAATTTAATGCGGTCTTATTTTTAAACATCACCATTAATGAGTCGACAGCATTTAGCATTTACTAGCTGTTGCATTAGCGCAGGATTGCAGGATTTAAAAAAAAAAATCTAGTCTCATTATGTACTCTACCTCATAAGAATCAAAAACTGCGCGTTACCCCCAAAAGGAGGAATGTGGTCGTTAATCTTCATGACACAATTGAAGCTAGTCTTTGCAAGTGGACCTGCATGCATGCTAAAATATTGATAGGATCGCTTCCGATCATGTACGAACTAAAACTCAACATTCTAATACAATTAGTTTGTCATTAGAGTACCTTTGATGTGTAACTTTTACGAATGAATATGAAAGATGCATGGTTGCGCGTCACTGCTAATATTCAGTAGCACTGAAGTTGTAGTTGGATTAAAAAAAAAAAAAAACCTATTCCACTGTGCCTTTTAAAATAATGCTGTGCGTGTATGTGTGTGCGCGCATACATTTTAGGCATGGGAACCTGTCCAGTCGTCCGAAGGGTTTGCACCCACTGGTCCGTAGTGGCATTCCAGAGCCGCTGAGAGCTGAAGTATGGCAGCTCTTGGCCGGTTGCCATGACAACCATGACCTGCTTGAACACTATCGCATCCTCATCACCAAGGTAAATGAATGAAAGAGCAGTATAACATTTTTCCTTTTACAAAGTGCAATTTGGCTTGCTGGGGCAACAAATTGAGATTGTCAAAACACCCCACAGTTTTGACAAATACATACAATACTTTATATTGTATGTTTACTTTACACGGTACCTGTATATATTTTTCTAAAATTGGCTGGCGATCAGTCTAGGGCAGTTTGTTGTTGTTTTTTTTTTGTTTGTTTTTGTTTTTGCTGGGCATCAGTCAAACAAACACACACCACGCCTGTCGATTGGGAACTTCCAAAGGTGAATATAAATAGGGCTGGTTGATTCCATGATTTGAGATTTGTCATATAAGGTGACCAGTGGTGAGCTGTGAGCATATTTACGCCAACAGACGTGGCGGAAATGTGTGTGGCTCTAGCTAATCGCAGTCCCCATTCTAACATTTGTTTGCAAGTTGAAACAAACAAAATCCACCAGTAAATGAAAGAAGTAATCGGAAGAAATCGACCAAACGTATATCGAAACGCGAAGATGAAGCTATTTTGAAAAGAGAAGTTGTTGAATTATTTGAACAAGTAGCTCCCAAGTGATCAAGTGGAAAGCATGAAAATACAAGCAACGTTTGCACAGCCAAACCACGTAAACATTAGCAGTTTAGCCGCTAATAACTAGCTGGCAACCACTGGATGAAAGCAGCAATTAATTGTGTCACATTTGCAAGTAGCAATGATGCTAATATCAAAGTCCATTAGTAGCCTCAAATCACCCCAATACAGTACAAAATTTGTGTTTTGTACTTTTTTTTTTTAATTGCCCTAAAATACCCAATACAGTCCAAAATTCTTGTGGAGAAAAAAAAAAAGCTTGAAATTGTTTGAAAAGTTTTAAAATGTATCCAAACTTACCCTTTTGGTACTTGGTGGGAGGATAATGATGTGCATCTGATCTTGTGCACAAGCCACATGTTATCTTAGAGTACTGAACTGCACCGAAAATACTTTAGCATGGTCATGAGATGTGTACACAACCCGCTCCAGTAAAAACAACACTCATGGATATAAATTGAATGATACGGAACACTCCTTTTAAACGACCGATATGTGCCTAAGCCGCATACTAAACTCATGTCTATGCTCCGTTACATTTCATCTCTTCTCTGCTAAAATGGCTGCCACATCTGTCCGTATTTTGTTTTGAAGGGGAAAAAAACACATTGACACATTTTATCGTCTGCTTGAGTCTACTGTGCATTTTTGTTTAGTACTACTTAGGGCTGGGTATCGATTCGAATTTTCAAAATAGATTTGATCCGTTTCACAATGGCCCGATTTGATTCACGATCCACTTTATTTGTTTTTCAATCAAGTTAAGGATTCCGCGCAGAACAAATTGTACTTTAATGTGGAAAATATTCTCAAAAGAAGCTGTGCTGCAATAGTAGAAACCTTTTACTCTAACATGGTGCATTAGTAAAAATGGGAATATTTGCATTAAAAATTAATTTCACTGCAGTTACATGAATCATGTATGTTTTATTGAACATGGCATGATCAGAAAAAGAAATAATGTAAATCAATTACCAACCACAGGGCAGGCTGCATAAATAGTCAAAAACATGCGTGGTGTGAGAAGTCACATGCATTTATGGGGAAAAGACATATTAAAAGGCTCAATTTATGGTTTTGAGACTCAATATCGGAATACGAAAAGGAAAATCGATTCGATTAATCACAACTGTTATTATTATGCTTGTATTAATAATGCATCTCAAATCTCTGAAAGAGCTGCGTATGTGGCTGAGGTCCATCTTTGGTTTGGGAGTGAGAGATTTGTAAATCAGTGGGCAGAATGACAAAGCTTGCTGCAAGAGGCGACAGCAGCTGTGTGAAGGGGTGATATGAACACACCAAGAAGACAAAGATCTTCGCTTTTATGGGAAATACAATACTCGTTCGCTCTACCGCAGACCAATAGGTAAATCTACTGAGTATAATCAAAAGGCACAAAGGATGAAGTCAGGATAATCTGGTGAGAAAGATGGAGTGGGCGAATAAATATGGACCCATCACCGAGGGAAGGATAAGAGGGAGGCAATCCGTGTAAACAACGGACAATCTGGCAGATTTTTGTGTTTTTAGAATCACATTTTTAGTTGTCCCTCCTCACCCGTGGACATTTCTCTTTTCAAGTGCCTCGAAATGTCTCTTTGCTGTTTCTTAATATTTCTTACTCTGTACCTCGATCTTCGTTGTATTGTTCCCCCCCATCAAAATCTTGCCCACAGGCAGCACCATTGTTGTTGTTTTGTTTCCACAGACCGTTTTCTGTCCCTCCCCTCTTACATGAGGCCAAACGTTTTTATTTCAGATGATTTATTCTCAATTCGCCGACTGGTGCACACCCACCTCCTGTCTTGCTGGAGTATGGTATTGATAGGCGGGTGGTTGGTCTATTAATAGCAGCACCAAATGAATGGATGGAACTGAGGGAATATAAAGGAGAGAGGCAAAGAGGGAACAATGACACTGATGGCTCGGGTGATGTGGAGCATATTAATGTCGATTCTCTGGGCTCAGTGACAACATTAATGCTAATTGAGTTCCAAGTAATTGGACTGTTGCCCTTATTGGAAAGGTTTAAGTGTAAATAATTGCAGTTCGTATCAGTCGGATATCTGGATAGAGCCTTTGTTTGTAGTTATTTAACACCTGATGAATGTTAATGTTGCTTTCTAAATTGAAATACTGCGACATGATGGTTGATTCTGCCGTTTCTTTTGAAACCATTTAATCTTGATTAATATCAGTTATTTCTAACAGTTGTGTAATAGTATTTTTTGAGGGACTCTGACAGCGAGTCAAGGAGTACTGACAGTGATTTTTTTTTTTTAAATGATTTTGCCTCTACACATTTCCAGTAGTTTTGAAATAGTACAACCATATGATTTAAGTGTAGACTTTCAAGAAAATGTTCTTAAAAATAAACCTCTCTATATGGGTCATTTTCCTCAAATTCTGTCAACTATAACACACATAAAAAAAGAATCTGATTATATGCTTTCATAGGAAATGCATCATAGGACAGAGCAAATGATGAGGCCCTTCAAACGCTGCGACTACATGCGCATAAATGATCCTAACTACGCATTAACCCTATTTAAACACTTGATACAATCTTAAGAACGATGGATGCGCATGAGTTCCAACACACAAGTTTTTGTACTAGAGTCTCTCGGAAACACCACCATTTATTTTGGTGTCTGCTGATTTGTTCACGCAAAATGGTGGCCTCATCCTAACACTTCAGCTCACAGATCCCGCTGGTGTATTGCAACAACATAATGAGGTTCTGTCCACTGGCATGAACAGTAAAGACATCTTGAGTGACAGACCACTTGTAAAAGAGCCCAAAAAGGGAATTAAGATGCATTTGGATTACTTTTCATGGAAAAGGCAGACCTAAGGGTAAGTCAACTCAAAAATCTTGTTACAATGAGATGTTCTATGCAGCCTCATTGGTCTAAACACGGCATTCTGATTAATATTGCCGCCCAGTGAGATGGATCAAAATGAGGGCCGGACCGGTTAATGGACTGGCCAATTATAGCGGGTGATTATGGCACTTCAAACGTCGGCCAAAATAATTGGCCAAATGTCTGATGTTTGCTGATTGTATTTAATTGCATGTACAGTAACCAATTACGGCAGATGCACACAACGCGCCATGTTTCAGCAGCCATGTACAAAGCCTATGTGTCACGTCAGCTCTTTGTTCGGCATGCAGGGAAACCTCTCTCGCCCGTCAACATGAAACAGTGTGTTTTTCTGCATTATGGGTGCTGAGATGGCTTTCTTTTTTTGTAATTAATTTTTGGGAGAACCCTCCCCCTGTCCCCGCAAAACACCAAAGCCGCAAAACTTGAAGCACAAAATGGCGAGGGATCACTGTAATTCAAGATAAGGTGTGAATGAACATAAGTCTGTTACTACTCCTAGGGAACATTGAACAACATAACTATCATTAGCGATAAATATGAAATTCTTCCTTCTTACTATTTACACCAGGCAAGTTGGGAATTCCAGCATCAAGTTCTTCCTACGCTGGAAGTTTTGATAGCACAAGAATGTTTTGTGTGAACAAAAACTGATTTTTTTCCCCCTAAGATTTCTGAATTATATATTTTGTAAAAGTTGATTTTTTCCTCTTTTTATTCCATGTGCTCATTGCTACCTACTCTCTTGCATTCCCTTACCCCTGAACTCCCTACCGCCGTAGATGTTACATGAACAACGGATCGATACAACCTTCTTAGAGATGTGTGCCCATAGATTCAACAACAGTGAAAGCCGGAACTTGGAGCGACGTGCATAGAAAGTGTGTGTGTGTGTGTGTGTGTGTGTGTGTGTGTGTGTGTGTGTGTGTGTGTGTGTGTGTGTGTGTGTGCGTGCGTGCGTGCGTGCGTGCGTGCGTGTGTGTGTGTGTAGGCCGGCCCAGTGGTCGACTGGGTAGCACGTCGGCCTCACCGTGCAGAGGTGCAGGGTTCGATTCCTGCTCTGGCCTTCCTACGTGGAGTTTGCACGTTCTCCCCGTGCGTGTGTGGGTTTTCTCCGGGTAGTCCGGTTTCCTCCCACATTCCGAAAACATGCATGGCAGGTCAATGGAACACTCCAATTTGTCCCTAGGTGTGATTGTGAGCGCGAATGGATGTTTGTCTATCCGTTCCCTGTGATTGGCTGGCAACCAGTCAGGGTGTACAACACCTACTGCCCAATGAAAATGGGGATAGGCTCCAGCATGGCCCGCGACCCGACCATTGTGAGGATAAGCAAATTAGAACACTTTGTATGCAGCGATGCCTGTTTGAAAGTGCTCTATAAATACAGTTGAGTTGAGTTGAGTTGGATTGGATGGGATGGATGGCACTCTCTCTCTCTCTCTCTCTCTCTCTCTCTCTCTCTCTCTCTCTCTCTATATATATATATATATATATTATAAACAACTCTCTCTCTCTCTCT